GCCTCAACAAAAAAACAAAACTCTAGTCTATACGTCACATGTAGCTATGTCCTTGGAAGGACATTCCGTATTATCTTGCTTCTTTTCTTATATGGGAACGCGTTTTGAACTGTATTTATATATGGCTGAATAAGTCTGTACATGTCCTTATATTAAAAAAAATAAGGGAAAATATTTTCTTTCTGTGCATCCTCTCTTCCGTCGATTAAAGGGCATTATGGGCAGCGGTCGCTTCGCTGTTTCGGCGATTTCAGGCCGCTCGCTCGTTAGCCACCTTATGACATAAAAAAAAATTGGTCTGGCTTCGTATGATCGAAGTTTGTAATCGATGAAGGCTCGTAGCGCGACCAGACAATTACAGGCGCCATGGCCATGTGTCCAGATCCTTTGCCTTAAACAATTGTTCGTTCAAACCTACCTGCACGACCAAAGGTCGCTTTTAAAAAAAAATGTTCGCCTCCTACACTCCTTGTTCCCAGAAAACGTACCAAAATAAAGGAATGCGGTGCATTAAAGCAAACCTGTTTCTCCATAATAATGAGCAAAAAAAAACATTCACAAAAAACATCTCTCTGGTCAGCTGATTTGCCCGGCTGAGGCGCCCCTCTACCAATGTACTCAATTTGGAACGCATCGCTTATTTATCGTTTTACCACGACACACGATTAACCATTTTTATCAATAAACTTTTGTTAAAATTTAAAGAATAATCATTTTAATGTAAATAAAAATATATATTCTAGTAAAAGTATGATGAAATAACATTACTTACGCTCAATTAAATCAACTTTATCGCTTTAAATTTTATTACATGTAAGATAATTATATTATATTAAATTCAGATTAATAGAAACATCAAATAAGTGATATAAGGATAGATTTTTCAATACTTTATCGTTTAATTTTATATCTTAGTAATGGAGAAATTTACGATAAGTCGAGTTTCATGGTACGGCCACCAGTTGAACGTGTTTGCCTGTCACAGCTGATTCCCGCCAAATCGGGCCTCCGTACGTCAACCGGTCATAGAAATTACAATAAATACTTACTGATAATTGCCATTGTCACTTAAAACTTGTATATTTAACAATAGAAAAGGAGAAGTTGATTTTTTTATTTGCATTTAACAAGCGAAATTTTCAAATAAGATGCATTCTCTCACGTTGCGAACAGCTGATTTTGTCGGGAAGCGTGTCCGCCATTTTGGCGCAGTTCGTTCTGAACCGGTCTGTTACCAAGACGTGATTTTATAATCTCAATTTTATTAAACGGTATTAATACGTGCTTGGTCTTTTTATTGTATGGTAAACATTTTGGAAATTATTAACTTTAACATTTAATATTTTAAGAATTAATGTAGTGTAGGTTAAAATTTGAAATAAGCTAAGGCTGTATAGTCCGTACTTATACTTATGTCATGTGTTTACATTGAACTAATCTCGTACCTAGGATATGCTAAGTCACAATAAGGTGACAAAAGAGCCAGAGTCCACAAATTCGCCGAAACGAGACGCACAGAAAAGGTATATCCCCTTACTTAACCCCCTACATCAAATCTATTCCCTTCTCATCCTTTAATTATAAGTAAAGAGCGGAAGGGTAAGAGAACTAAAGTTAGGAATCCGGAACACAATCAAATATGGCCTTTTACTATAAGTAATTTTTTTTTTTCTTGTTCAATCTTCAAGGTCAACTCAGATAAACGATGCTTCCACATGTTAAAATTGCAATAAGAACATTTTATAATGAAAAAAACCAGGTAATCGCCCACCATCGCTTGGGAAAGCAACCTGATACCCTAAAAACATATTTCAACCTTTACATTATGTCATTTGGGCAACCTGCTTTTGTTAGTTATGGTATACGTAACTATTTTTCATAGACAAATCATTATAATCTTTCTAATATTAAATGTGAATGTTTAGATGTTTGTTAGAAGATATCTCCAGAATGCATAGATGTTACTGCGGCATACATATAGAACATAGTCTGGAAGAACACATAGGCTAATTAAGCTTTTTGTAATTTCCAGTAGATGGATTCGCGGACAGCTTCAAATTTTACCGAAATCCGATGAGCCGTTCTGGAGATACCATCTAACAAACATCTAAACATTCGCATTTATAATATTAGTAAGATTTTGAACGTAAGCACTTAACCTAGTGTAACTTTTAAATTCAGCCTTTGTTTGTAATTTTATTAAAGTGAAGTTTGATCGTTTAATTATGCTTATGTATATCTTCTAAGAAACATCCATCTAAATATTCGCATTTATAATATAAGTAAGATATTGTATGTTTATTTCGTCGGTGGTTCAGGGGTAAAGCACTTGACTTGTAATCTGTAGGTCCTAGATTCGAATCCCGCCATGTACCAATGTGTTTTGCGATTTCCGATTTACATATGTACATTTATCCTATGTTCTTACGGTGAAGGAAAACTTCGTGATGCTGCACATATCTGAACAAGAAATTCAAAGATAAGTGTGATGTCAACCCGCACTTGGCCAGCGTGGTTGATGGCCTAATCACCTTAACTTATAGTAGGCTCCGAGCCCCTCGGTGGGGACGTATAGTGAGCTGATGATGATGTTTATATCTTTTATATTTTTATAAGCAACAGAAGAATAGCTTGTTTTGTGCTAAATATTCTTCAATTGCATTGTCGATCACATCTGGAGTTTGACAAACTGTGAGAAACTCTCGCCAGCAATCTTTAGACCCACAACTACCTGATTTTCTTTGTATTTTGGATTTATATATTGTATAAATGCTATAAGTAACAAGACTTTTCTAACAGTTAACTATTTTAGACAAGGTTATAAAGAAAACGACACAGATGTTGTCATGGATCTCGCGGAATTTGGCATAGATGTACAATATATATAACAGTGGTAGAGCCCGCTTTAACATCTTCGCACGAATCGGCCCGGCTCGCCCGGTGAAATACCACGACTACACAGAAGACAGGCGTCAAGTGCGAAGCTATTCCGCGTACAGTCTGATGAGTGTGCGTCCCGGAGGCCTAATTTAGTCCTCTTTCCCTTCCCACCCTTTTTCTTAGAAGGAAAGGATGGGAAGTGGAAGTGGACTTTCCGGATGAGAGGATGCATGGGAAGGGAAAATATTTTCTTTCTGTGCATCCTCTCTTCCGTCGATTAAAGGTAGGCAACGCATATGCGATTGCGTATGTCTATGGGCAACGGTCATTTCGCTAATTCGCTATTTCAGCGATTTCGGGTGGCCGATTGCTCGTTTGCCACCGTTTGATAAAATAAAAAAAAACTATTTTAGACAGGGTTATTATAAAGAAAACGACACAGATGTTGTCATGGATCTCGTGGAATTTGGCATAGATGTAGTCTGGAAGAACACATAGATTACTAAGTTTTTTAATTCCGCGCGTACAAAGTCGCAGGCGACCGGTAGTACATAAAGATACGCCAATTTTAATAATATGTATATATTAATTTCTTTGACATAGTTTAATAATACGAATTTTTGAATGTGGATAAAACTTTAATTGAATCCAATTGGATCGTTTTTAAATGTATTTGTGGTAAAATGCATTCTTTCATTTAAAATCTTTTTAGACGACTTCAAAATGAAAGAGGTTATTTTATGAATGTTGTAACAAGTGTTGCCATTGAAAAATATTCATTATAATATTGGTAGTCTGAATTTCCCTATAAATTGTGAATTAAATCGCTCTATGGGAAACTATTTAACAAAAAAAATCCTTAAAATTAACTAACATATTATTTTAGGTTAGCTTTTTGTTGCGGCTACATAAAAATGACCGATGAATGGCAGCTACCGTCTATTCAAATAGTAACTAAAACACATAAACGGAATGATAAATATTTAAAACGCAATCTTTTACGACATATTTTATAGGTGTTTTGTTTTTATTTTTATCTTCGGCTTTGTTGCTCCGTGTTTACGATTTGATTGATACGGACCACACACGTTTTGTAATAGTGCCATCTAGTGACGTATTAGAAAAACCCATAGGATTTGTAGTTGTTAAAATTGAAATTTGATTATTAATCTTATTTTTAATTAATATCATATTAACACGCCAATTAAAGCTTTTTATAGTAAAAATCCTTGATCATTGGTCACAATCTCTCAATCATGCTTGATGTAAAATGGAGATTAAATCAAAAATTGTATCCAATAAAAGTAGACATGTCACCGGTCGATTGTGAATTTGTCAGCTTACAAACTAGACATTTGAATCAATAAATGATTCTTCTTCTTCTTTTAGTTGCAATAAATGATTGAATAAGTTATAAGTATTCTGACATTGAGTTACTTCAGTACGTATAAGTTTAAACAACAAACACCATAGTCCCGTTTTGCAACAGAACCAGGTATATTTCTGTGAGAAACATCAATTTGTTCCGCAAATACAGGATAAAATTATTTGCATAGTTCATTCCTGAACGGATGTCGTGTTTGTTAGTAATTTTAAATGTACTTAGAGTGCGTCGGTAAATTAGTTTAAATACACCATCAACCCGACATTTTGTTTACTCGCGTTCTTGGGAAGTTGCGCCTTTGGTGTTGCCAAGTGTTCGTTTTTCCGTTTGTGTTTAATCTGTAATTACCGTATGCTTCGCAACTTTGCAATATTTACACTCTATGCTTGTGTTTCAAGTTAAAGTATTCGAGTCAGGAATATTATTAGATTTCATTTTAAATCTTTGAACGTCAGCCAACATTAGCGCATTTTATAAAGTTTTGTTTTACTTTATCTAATGATATTTACAATTTAAGGATAGGAAATTCCTTTTTTTATATTAACTGTTTTATTGAAATTACTGGTACTTATTTTAGGGTCTAAATTATGCATTGTGTACCTAAAATTCTATAATAACAGACGAATTATTAAAAGAAAATGCGAAAAAGACAGTTTTTGTCGAAAAAATTAAGCAAGGGCAATATTTTCTTAGCCCTTTTCTTAATTTTCTGCACTGACAACATTTCGCACTTTGACACACCTTATTGATACGGTTTGAGTGTTTTTATTGCTTTTCTGTGTTATTTTTTATGAAATAAAGTGAATAATCGTGTTTAAAGCAGTTATTTTAGTGATTGAATTGTTTATTTGTGCTTATTTGAAAAAGGATTATTGAATTAGTAAGGTAATTACTTTAAAAATTTATCAATAGTGTCTTACGATGTCAAGTATGTAATTTTAAAACAATAGTTTTCTGTAAGAGCTTATTATTTTTATTATAAAACTTTTTAACTTAGATTAGAAGGTATAGGATTGTTATTAGTTTCTATTGATGTTTCATTTAGTTTAAAAATTATTTTAAGTTATAAATAAGTACAAGATGTGTGCTTAGTTGATGGCTGAACCATTTTCGTGATTCATACTTTCTCTTGTTATCGGAACAGAAAACTTGTTTGTATTTGTAATTATATTGTTGAATATAGAATTTGCTGTTTAATTATCAATAAATATAACAAGGAAGTATTATTTAAAATTATTCTTGCAATAAAATTGTCAAAATTAGTAGGTAATTATAGGATTTTATATAAAATAATGATTTTAAATAAAAGTAAGTTTAACTTTGATTTAATGTTACTTTTTTTATTTACATAACAAATAAACATTCAGTTTGTTACTGTTAAGAGATGTTTAGTACAAAATCATACTCAGTTTTAAGAAAAAAATTACAATTTGGTTTTGGCTGTGCAATATGTAAGCTTATTTTTAGTATAGATCCCATCATTTCCTTATAAGGAAAAGGGTGGGAATAGAAAGAGGACTAAATTAGGCCTCCAGGACGCACACTCATCAGACGAAACGCGGAATTGCTTCCACTTCACGCCTGTCTTCTGTGTGGTCGTGGTATTTCACCGGGCGAGCCAGGCCAATTCGTGCGAAGATGTTAAAGCAGGCTCTACCACTGTTAAAACACTTTCACGTTGTTTGTGATATCTGAGAGTGTTCTTGGTGATCTGGGATGTTTTACTCTGTATTCATGATCTGCAGTGCATTATCACATGGGAAAATAAACAGATGTCTTAAACTTAATTAACCTCTTAAGGAGGGCTTTAGGCTGTACTCAACAATGTTGTTATACTTTCCAGAGATGGCAGCCCTAACAGATCCTTATGGTACAACTGGACAGCTAACATTGAAGTGGGATCCCAAGAACTTGGAGATCAGAACAACATCGGTGGAGCGCACTTTGGAGCCTCTTGTACTGCAAGTGACTACACTTGTTAACAGCAAGGATAAGACAGCTAAGAAGAAGAGACGTAAGTGACTATTATTATTGACATTTAGTTTTTAATTCCGTATCTTGGAAAGAAAAAAAATAACTTTTAGGATAACTTTGTTGTATGTCTGTTTGTTAAGACCATTTTTCTTAAGAATGCATGGAGGTATTAAGCTGGAATTTATATCAAATACTCAGGTTTACTGTCCCTTACAGCTGTATCGAGTTTCTAAACCCACGCAATCAAAAGATACAGCTGTTTATACCAAAAAACTAGACTTGCAAGGGAATCAAGACCTATAGACTACTTCTTATAGCATAGATAAAGCAAAAATTGCTTTAACTTAATTTTTAGTTATGTCTACTTTTATATCCAAACGGTTTTACGACTCCTAGTCGCATTTGTCTAGATTTTAGTAGCTAGTCATTGGGTACTCCACTAAATTTGGTGACCAGTGAACTGGCTCGTAATTCCTCAATATGTTGGTAATAAATAGTGGTTTATTTTACTTACTAGCTGTCGCCTGCGACACCGTCCGCGTGGAATTATTAAAAAACTTAATTAGTAGCCTATGTGTTCTTCCAAACTATGTTCTATATGTATGCCAAATTTCATCGAGACGTTCAGCCGTTTTGGAGATACCTTCAAACATCCACCCATCTAAACATTCGCATTTATAATATTAGTAAGTTTATATGTATAATTTTCAGCGGGTAAATCTAAGCGTGCAAGTGCTCTAGTTGCAACAGTGGAGCGAGCCACTGAGATCTTCATTGAACGTGGTCAGACCATAGCTTATGAGAATCCAGAGATTACTCAGGAGATGCTTGCTGCTGTGGAGGAGGTCAGGAAAGCTGGTAAGTTGGTAATGAGGTAGTCTTATCATTACAGTCCCCATTGAGTAGATCGGAACCCTAAGTGAGACTATGTGATAGTGAATGCTGGTTCAGTGCAGGACTTCACACATAACTTTAACTTTCTCAGATATGTGCAGCATCACGATGTTTTCCTACATCATAACATTAGATAAATGTACATATGTAAATGTAAAAACATATTGGTAAATGCTGGGATTCGAACCTAGGACCTGCAGACAAGTGAACTGCTTAAACCTCTGAGCCGCAGTCGTTCTCACGCCTCTCTATTTTTGATAACATAAAGAAAACAATATAATTTAAACCGACATTTTGGGGTCAGAAAGCCAAGGGTTAGTTGGGGTCAGATTTCAGTGGATTCAGTTTAGTTATACTGTAAGGTGCGGCGATGTCTCTCGCTGCGCGTGAGTTCTCCGAGGAGCCGTGCGCGTCAGCAGTGCGCAGCGCGATGGTGCGAGCTGCGCGTGCGCTGCTCTCCGCCGTCACACGTCTCCTCATCCTGGCTGATATGGTGGATGTACATCTTCTCCTCGCTAAGCTTAGAGCTGTGAGTATTTAACTATCGCTAGAAACTTTATTATGTGTTCTTCCAGATTGTACTGAACTAGCTGTCGCCTTCGCCTCTGTTCGCGCGGAATTATTATAATAAAAACTTGTAGGTTATGTGTTCTACATGTATGACAAATTTCATCAAGATCTGGTGAGCCGTTCCGGAGATATCTTCAAACAAACATCTAAACATTAGTATGTATGATTTTTGATTATTTAACATTGTTTTCCTATAGGAAATTCATGGGAGTTGGTAGTTGTTTTTGGCGAAAGAAGGACATAGGAAGGGGAAATATCCTCTTTCTGTGCGTCCCCTCCTCTGTTGATTAAAGTTAGGCAACCCATCAGCTATTTTGGATATCTAAAGACAGCGGTTACTTTACTATTTAGTTAAATTCATGTATTTTAAAGTTAATTTACACATAAGAGTGATTCTTACACAGGTGGAAACTGATCTGGATAAGCTGAAGTCAGCATCATCACAATCAGAGCTGGTGGAATCAGCTCGTCAGTTCGGGCGCTCAGCTAACGAGCTGGCCGCGCAGGCAGCTAAGCGTCAGAAGGAGTTGAAAGAACCAAGGATGAAGGATGAACTGGCAGCGGCAAGAGCTGTGCTGAAGAAGCACTCTACTATGCTGCTCACAGCTTCCAAGGTATGCGCAGGAGAACGAAAGGAAATTAATTGACATTGAGTTACTTAGGGCGACTATGTAGATAACGTCATAAAAAACATTTTTTTTGCTTTATTTATCCGTTCTAATGTTCTTAACTCTATGTATTGTAAAGATTAGGTAAACAAAGTGTGGGGTTTGGGGGTGGGGTTAAATAACTTACAAGCGTGTTGACAGCTCAGGGGTTAAGCAGTTGATTTGTCCGCAGGACCTGGGTTCGAATCCCGGCATGTAGCAATAGTTACATATGTACATTTATCTTATGTTACGGTGAAGGAAAACATCGTGATGCTGCACATATCTGAGAAAGTCAAATGTGTGAAGTCTTGCACTGGACCAGCATTCACTATCACATATCACTAAGGGTAGACTCTGATCTCAATGGGGACATATAGTAAGCTGCACACGGGTAGGTCCTGGGCAATCGCCCTGGGCCTACCTGCCACCCTAACACCGTACTGTTTGTACATGTCAGGTATATGTGCGTCACCCGGAGCTGGCCGCTGCTAAAGCTAACAGGGACTTTGTTCTGCGCGCTGTTTGCTCAGCGGTAGACACCATATCAGCTGTCGCACAAGGACGACCGCTGCCAGCTGGGGGTCAGTACAAAAACTTCTACAGCTTTATATACAGGGTCAAAAAAAGGATGTTTTTTTTCATATGTTATTTAAGACTATGTTCTATATCTGTGTCAAATTTCAATAAGATTTGTTGAAGAGTTGCCGAATACTTTCCTATATTAGAGGTAGCCTATGTGTTTTTCTAAACTATGTTTTAGATTTATGCCAAATTTCAAAAAGGTCTGTTCAGCAGTTCTGGAAATACCTTCTAACAAACATGCATCTAAACATTCGCATTTATAATATTAGTTAGTAATCAAGTACAGTCAGGTACTTTTACGGTGTACAACTTACATAAAAATTGTGTAACAACTCGTAATAAATGTATAAAACTAGAAAACACATCGTTATTTATCTCTGTTTATATGTATACTATCTATTGCCCGCGATTTCGTCTGTGCGGTGTTCTTCCAGACTATGTTCTATGCCTGTGTCAAATTTCAGCGAGATTCTTAGTCTTTCTCGAGATACTACAACATCCATACATTCAAACATGTATTTATAATATTTGGCAACTTTTTTTAGTAGTTTATAATAAATTTCAGCCAACAATCGCCCTCCTATTGAAGGTCCCGGGGAATTGGCTCAAGCGCTCGATGATTTTGATGTAAGTATAACTCACGATATAAATTTAATATGAGAAATGAGAATAGCAGTATATGTCTTTCTCTCATACAAAAGTTATATCTTTCCATCTCTTTCATGTAACGATGAACATTCTGAATGTAGTATATCTCTTTCTCTCATGTATACTTGATATGTTGTATCTGTGTGATGTAACGATGTGGTGTCAGGAGCGCATGGTGATGGAGCCTCTCGCGTACTCTGAACTGCGCACGCGACCCTCGCTGGAGGAGCGACTGGAGTCCATCATCAGCGGCGCTGCACTCATGGCTGATAGTTCCTGCACCAGGTAAACATAGACTTTATGACCTGGTAGGCATAAGTTACTAGCGGCCTACTCTAGATAGAATTTAATGCGATAATAGCCTTTCTAAGGAAAATATCGTGATGAAATTTTCGGATATTTAAAAAATTTTAATTAAAATTATGCACGCTTATTGCAGTGGGTATGGGGCTTAGTGACTTAGGGTAGACAAAAGTAGAGAGGCTAGTACCTTGGGTTGAGTAAAGTGGGGGGCTGTCCTAGACGTAGAGTAAAGTGGGGGACGTGGCCTAGTGACTTAGGGTACAGTAAAGTTGGTGCCATAGGCTAGTGACTAAGGGTAGAGTAAAGTGGAGGGGGGACGTGGCCTAGTAACTTAGGGTAGAGAACATTGGGTATCGGGTCTAGTAAATCAAGGTAGAGGGCAGTGGGAGACAGGGCCTAATGACCTTGGTTGACTAAAATGTGGAGGGGCTAGTGGTAGTAGGTAGGTCCAGGCGAGCACTGGGCACGTGTGTGAGTTATGTTGTATGTATGTGCAGGGACGAGAGACGCGAGCGCATCGTGGCGGAGTGCAACGCGGTGAGACAGGCGCTTCAGGAGTTGTTACACGAGTACATGACCAATGTGAGTTATACTAAATTCTACTTTATCTCTATTGTGTTTAGGTTCAACTTAATTTCCTTATTGAAAAAACTACAAAATTGAATCTTAATCACTGTATCTTTAGTAACCAGTGAAGGTCGGTGGGCTCAAGGGTTAAGCGGTTAACTTGTAATCAGGTCCTGGGTTCGAATTCCGGCATACCAATATGTTTGTACATATGTACATTTATCGTATGTTGTTACGATCAAGGAAAACACCGTGATGCTGCACATATCTAAGAAAGTCAAAGATATGTGTGAAGACCTGCACTAGACCAGCATTCAATATCACATAGTCTCACTTAGAGTAGACCCTGACCCCAGTGGGGACCTAGAGATGATGATGATGATGATCCTTAGTGATAAGGTTGAGTTTACTTTACAGGCAGGTAAAGCTGAGCAGTCTGAGGGTCTGGAGCGTGCTATAGAACATATGTGCCGTAAGACGCGCGACTTGCGTCGTCAACTGCGCAAGGCGGTCGTCGACCACGTCTCTGATAGGTGAGGGCGGAATATTCCCTGACTATTTAATAGGTTAAATATGACATTTGTAGTTTTATGGTAAGGTGTTTAAAATTGATTTAAAGTGAATGTGGACTTCAAATATATTGGAATTCAATTTAATTGTCAAGAATAATCGATGTTTTTCTATTTATTTTCTTGGAATATCCTTAGTGTTTATAAAGAAAAAAGATGAACTGATGAGACATTGTAACTTAGAAGAATTAATTATACGAAATTTGAATAAAGTGAATCAATTTTGTATTTTAAACTTTAAAAAAAAAATTATCTCCTTAACAAGGTTACGTATAATTTAGGCAAAGTCTCAAATATGACTTAACTTGTTGTTTTCAGCTTTTTGGAGACGAATGTACCTCTCCTGGTGCTGATGGAGGCAGCTCGCAATGGCAATGAGAAGGAAGTGGAGGAGTACGCCATTGTGTTCACTGAACATGCCAACAAACTGGTCGAGGTGAGGCAGTACAGTTGCATGTCTTGCTATCTGCCGTCATGGAAGTGGGAGGAGGGGGGCATGAAGTGTGACATTGTATGACAAGGGGTTGGGGAGGGTATGACGTCACACTAACGGGGGTCTTAAATATGACATGATTCCCATGAAATTCCTGTGACGTTATTTATGGACCATATTATAAATGCGTGGATAAATGAATGGATCTTGATGAAATTTGGCAAACAAATCTTACTAATATTATAAATGCGAATGTTTAGATGGATGGATGTTTGAATTTACCTCCAAGCGGTTGAATGGATGTCAATAAATTTGTCATACATATAGAACATAGTCAGAATGAACACATAGACTACTATTTTTTTAATGCCGCGGAAGGAGTCGCTGGCGACCACTAGTCGAACATAATCTTGAGTAACACATGATAAATTTCTTTATCTTTTTTTATAATTTTACGCAGAAAAAATCGCTGGTAAAAGTTAGTTTATATTAGTAATATAAACTACATCACTGCAAACGAACCTGATTGTACTTTAGTGGATTTTTTTTTAACTTCAATGAAATGTGATTTGATGATATTTAGCAGTTTTTCTATAAAATATATTTGAATAACTTGGCAGGTGGCGAACTTAGTCTGCTCAATGTCAAACAATGAAGACGGCGTGAAGATGGTGCGTCATGCAGCCGCGCAGATAGAGGCGCTCTGTCCACAGGTGAGAGCGAGATAGATGTATACACGCAGCACAACGTGCGACAGAGACAGAGGCGGTGTCTTCTTAAGTGGAAGCGAGATAGATGTAAACACCAAGTGTAAAGTGTGACAAAGATAGACGTGCTGTAGAATTTGAGGTACATTGTGCGTAGGTTAATGATGAATTTATGGTCGGTTAATATTATTCCAGTCCAGCGATTCCGAAATCACTTCAGGATTATAACTGGAACAATGTAAACAATTTTTTATTCCAGTAATCCAGTCGTTATTCGTGTTGACTGTACTGGAATAGTGTAAATAGAAAATTAGCATACAGATGTTATTCTTGGCAATCACTGATCTCTATAAATGTATAAGCGATTGCTTGGAAATTAAAACTTTTCTTTTATTTCTTAAATAGTAATATAGGATTTAAGGAATAATTCTGAATATGTATGTATGTATGTATGTACGTATGCAGGTGATAAACGCAGCTCGTGTGCTGGGCGCGAGGTGCAGGTCTCGCGTGGCTCAGGACAACGGCGCTGCGTTCGCGGCCGCCTGGGACGCCGCGGTGCGCCTGCTGACGCTCGCCGTCGATGACGTCACCACTATTGATGACTTCCTTGCTGTTAGCGGTAAACGCATATGTCTATACCCCCACCACCACCGTCACATTACCACCACCGTCACATTACCCCCACACCACGCTCACACCAACACCACAACATTAACCCCAGCTTTACCCTCACATTTACCCCCAAAATACACCCACACCACCATAACACCCCCACTTTACCCCTATCTTACACCCCCACCTTACTCAAACAATACCCCCACATCACCAAGTCACCACCACATAACACTCTCATTTTACTCTTAATTACCCTCACATTACCCACAAATTACCCTCATATTACCCCCACACCACTCCCTCACTGTTTAAATTAACAGCAGAATGCCTTTTCTACTTTTTTACTGAAGTACTGAAGATATCTCCTACAAACATCCATCTATACATTTGCATTTATAATATTAGTAAGATAGAGACTTTCTTATAGAGAATCATATCCTGGAGGACGTGAACAAATGTGTGGTGGCGCTGCAAGAGGGAGATCCTGACTCCTTGGAGAGAACTGCTGGTGCTATACGTGGGAGAGCGGCAAGGTAACTTAATAATTCCTTATATAGTTGAAACATTATAAAAGAAATGGATAAGAGACAACGCCATCTAGTTATCATTACCGCTTTAACATGTTCACACGAATTGTCCCGGCTCGCTCAGTGAAATACCACGACCACACAGAAGACAGGCCTCAAGTGCGAAGCTATTCCAACTACAGTCTGATGTGTGTGCGTTCCAGAGGCCTAATTTAGTCCTCATTCCCTTCCCACCCTTTTTCTTATGAGGAAAGGATGGGAAGTGGAAGTGTACTTTCCGGATGAGAGGATGCATGGAAAGGGAAAATATTATCTTTCTGTGCATCCTCTCCTCCGTCGATTAAAGGTAGACAACGCATATGCAATTGCGTATGTCTATGGGCTACGGTCACTTCGATATTTCAGCGATTTCAGGTGACCGCTCGTTTGCCACATTATGATATAAAAAAAATCTAGTTATCAAGGCGTTGACTACTTCTAAACAACGCCATCTAGTAATAGACATTGTAACCGTTTAAATGCGAATAGCGCCACCTAGTGATTAAAACATTGAAATTGTATATATGTAAACAGCGCCATCTATTTGATATAATAAAATTTTCTCTACTCCCAGGGTATGTTCTGTGGTGACACAAGAGATGGACAACTACGAGCCTTGTATCTACACCAAGCGAGTTCTTGAAGCTGTCACCGTGCTGAGAGACCAGGGTAAGTTATGTTTATCTTCTAGAGCAGTCTTTCTTGTGTGCGCTGCAGGTCTCAAGTTGCTGGTTATAGTAAAAGTTTTCGTTTAGAATTCTCCGTTAATATACATATATAGGTCACAATAATTAATTAATATAATTTGAAGTTATAGTGGTTTTTAAATATGTGAAAATATGGCAGCGCTAAATAACATATTTATTCTCAAAGTGGGCAGTAGACAAAATAAGTTTGGGAACCACTGGTTTAGAAGGAGAAAAGACAGAGGAAAAACTCATATGTACTCAGAGAAGATAAATGCGAATGTTTAGATGGATGGATGTTAGAAGATATCTCCAGAACTGCTGTATGGATTTTGATGAAATTTGTCATATTTGTAGAACATAGTCTAGAACACATAGGCTTATTAAGTTTTTTTTTAATTCAGTGCGTATGAAGTCGTGGGCGACTGCTAGTTTAGATATAAAAATGACTTATCAAGTTCAGTCTGATAATATTGTGAGTTTTTTTGCCTTTAAGTGTCTAGAAATCCTAGATCTAGGTACTAATGTGAACGTAAATAGGTCTAAGACATCAGACCGACATCGACTCCGAAACAACAATCGTACGATGTAGACTACAAGAAGAGAAATTTCTTACTTTTGAGGCTATTCATGACATTTTATTGGTTTTTATTAGGTTTTTTTTTGGGAATGTTTTTTTCTGAAGACAGCTTTTTTTAAGACTGTTGTGATTAACACCAATTTCAATTTAGTAGTTTTTTTTGGGAGTAAATGATAGATAAAGTCGTATTTCTGTTAAAAATATATTTATTTTAATAATAATGTCATGAAAATATCAAATGATTGCACAAAGATGGCACTTTTTGGGAGATTTTCACGTTTGTTACGAAATACAGTGTAACTTGAGTACGCGTGTGATTCTTCTCGCTTGTAGAGGTTTCTCTAACCCGAGTTTCTCGCTTATGGACGCTCAGGACCTGACAATTCTCGCTTATAAAAGTTTTTTACTTATTTCAAGTTTTTCTAGTTTCTACTTCGCCTTTTGATATACTTGATATTATAAAAATGCTTATAATTGTATGAAAACTTATCTTTTTTTATTTAAAAATAAGCATTTATTCTATAAATCTAGATTTTTTTCTTTTATAGATCATTTTTAAAGTTTAAATTACGTATTTATGGTAAAATTTATATAGGTGTCCCACAAGGTACCAATTTTGGACCAAGTTTTTTGATGATTTTTTTTTGTTTTAAATCAAATGTCTAGGTAATTTTAAGGTAAATTTCAAACAATGAAATAAAATATAAAACTTATATTAATATCCGTTATCACAGGAATCTTCACAATTACTAAGAAAAATGAGTATTTAATTCATAAAACATAAATTAAAATCGATTCTTATTCTTGATTGATGAACGTAATATCGATTTTATAAAATTGTTATCGATTTTTATGATGGAATCGATAAGAATTTTAGACAATCGATTTCATTGTGTAGTACTTATTATATTGTGTCTCGGTTTTGTCAAACAGAATGAAAGAGATGCAACTATTGATTACACTAGATTCCAGATAAGCGAGAAACCAAAAGATATTTTCTCGCTTATAGAGGTAACTCTCCCAAGTTTCTCGCTTATAAAGGTTTCTTGCTTATCCAGTCACATATTCTGTTTATATTGATGATGGGGTAGTTTCTTAGTTTTCTGGTGGTGGAGGGTGGGCCCTGATGTACTCCAAAGCCTTGAGGATAGCTTCAGGGATCGGTGGTGGTGTTGGTAAATGGGAACCCTGGAAATAAATGTATTAAGTTAAAACTACACTTTAAAATACGAGATTTTTAGGGTCCATACCACGATGGGAAAACCGGAATACTTAGGTGACTTTGTTGTCCGTCTGTCTGTTAATAAACCTTTTTTTGGTAGAGTAATAGTTCGACTTATTCATTTGGATTAACCTGAATAACAAGAGGGTTATGTTTTTATGTATGTAAGCTTTACAGCGTCGTATGAGCGTCGGTGGCTCAGTGGTCAAGTACTTGACTTGCAATCTGCAGGTCCTGGGTTCGAATCCCGCCATGTACCAATGTGTTTTTCGATTTCCGATTTACATATGTACATTTATCCGACGTTCTTACGGTGAAGGAAAACATCGTGATGCAACCTGCACATGTCTGAGAAGAAATTCAATGATATGTGTGAAGTCAACCAACCCGCACTTGGCCAGCGTGGTTGACTACGGCCTTATCACCCTTAACTTAGGGTAGGCTCCGAGCCCCTCGGTGGGGACGTATAGTGAGCTGATGATGATGATGATGAAGCTTTACAGTGGTAGAGCTTGCTTTAACATCTGCACGGATTATCCTCGCTCAGTGAAATACCACGACCACACAGAAGACACGCCTCAAGTGCGAAGTAATTCCAACTACAGTCTGATGAGTGTGCGTGTCGGAGGCCTAATTTAGTCTTCTTTCCTTTCCCACTCTTTTTCTTATAAGGAAAGGATGGGAAGTGGAAGTGTACTTTCCGGATGAGATGCATGGAAAGGGAAGATATTTTCTTTCTGTGCATCCTCTCTTCTGTTGATTAAAGATAGGCAACGCATATACAATTGCGTATGTCTATGGGCAACGGTCACTTCGCTATTTCAGCGATTTATAAATGCGTATGTTTACATGTATGTTTGTCAGAAGGTACATCCAGAACAGCTCAACGGATCTCGTTGTAATTTAACATACATATAAAACATAGTCTGGAAGAAATAGGCTACTAATTAAGCTTTTTTTTTTATTTTCCGCGCGGACAGTCTCGGGCGATAGCTAGTACGTTCATATTGGCACTTTTTCCTTGTAATAACTGTGATTCTATACATTTTATGTTAGAATGTATTTATTACCTGCACTTGATATCCGTTTTCATCAGCTGTGTATTGTAATTCGACAACTTCGCCGTTGGGTGCGGTCCATCTAGCCTGACCTTGAGCGGTCTGAGCTGAGTTCTCCTGTGAATCAGTAAGATAAGATGAGGCGTAGATACAAAATTACTCGTTAACTTTCAGTTTCTGAGACTAAAATTCATGTTTAATTTACTTTTAGCTCTGTTTTTATTAAAGATGATATAAGAAAACCATAGTTAATCTTATTAATACTATAAATGCGAATGTTTAGATGGATGTTTGTTAGAAGGTATCTCCAGAACAGCTGCATAGATCTTGATGAAATTTGGTATAGATGTAGAACATAGTCTAGAAGAATACATAGTTCTTTTTTTCAATTTCGCATAGATAGAGTCGCAGGCGACAGCTAGTTTTACTATAATATAGATGCGAATGTTTAGATGTATGTTTGTGAAATGGTATCTCTAGAACAGCTGCTTTTAGATGAAATTTAGCAAAGATATATAACAGTCTAGAAGAGCACATAGGCTAGTCATTTTTTTTAAATCCTTGCAGACGGTGTCCCGGTTGATAGCTAGTTTATTTAAAATAAAGTACTAACCGATTGCGGGTTTTTCAAAGCACCGGTTTCCTGAGCTGATATACCATTTTCAGTCTCGATAGCCCATTGGTATTGTCCCTCGAGACCTACATCCTGGTCCTGTCTGAGGATCTTAGCGTCCGCCTCAGGAGACCTGGTCAGGATGTGGGATACATCTGCTGCTACGCACGCCACCAAGGCTGTGATGATGAGGAGTTTCTGAGGATAGAAGAGTTTCATATAAAGCCAATAGCTTAATGGTTAAGGGTACATCCAATCGCATGGTTCAAAGTATTTGTTAGAAGGTATCTCCAGAACGGCTTAACATATCTCGTTTGTCATAGATGTAGAACATAGTCTGGAAGAACACATTGGCTACTAATTATTTTTTTATAATTCCGCGCGGACAAAATCACGGGCGACAGCTCGTATTAAAAAATAATAATTTTAAAAGGTGTAAATTCCAAATAAATCGTTTATGTTAAAATGTTTTCTTTTTGATGAACAAAACTTCATTTCTGTCTACTCATTATTTGTACGGCAAATCATTTTTTAACTAGTAACACCGCGGTATTCAATAATATTGTATGTAAAATGTTTCGTAAGTTCAAGTCGAGAGCGTCTTGAAGATGTCATAAACATAACTCGTTTTAGGTTGAGGTTATATTATAAGCGGTAGCGGGTAACTTGTATTTTATGATTTTAATACAAATTGCATTTACGAAAGTATTTCTACTAAAAAAGTATCTATGTTTGCTATACTTATATTATAAAGAGAAAAAAATGTTTGTTTGAGTGTCATTAGACTCTCCGACCGAAACTCAAGCGGTTTGAAAAATACTTTCACTGTTGTGAATCTACACTATCCCAGGGTGACAATTCCGCGCGCATACAGTCTGGGGCAATAACTAGTAAATTAAAAAATAAAAGTTATAAAACTCAATGTAATATTCTAATATAAACCAAGGCCATAGTCAAGCAACCCGCACTTGACCAGCGTGGTTGACTATGGCCTAGTCTACCTTAACTTAGGGTAGGCTCCGAGCCCCTCAGTGGGGACGTATAGTGAGCTGTTGATGGTGATTAATATAAACGATTTCTATGCTATCACAATATTCTTAAAAAAAATCAGTTATTTAAACAAATAACATCGAAATAAAAGCGATCCAAATAAATAATGGAATTTCTATAACATTATATTCACTCTGTTAAATTCAACTATTAGTTACTACTATGTTAGTACAAAATTTTAGAATTCCGCTTCGCTTATTTATGTAACCCTACCTTTATCACTTAATGAATAACTAAAATGTCAGCTTGTGAACCTACACGATAATTCACCTGACTTATCGTAAATATCACTTGAAGTACGTCCCGCACCGGACGCACCGGACGCACCGCACGCACGGATTAAACGGATATGCTACGTCTTGTGTGTCTTACTAATATTATAAATGCGAATGTTTAAATGGATGGATAGATGTTTAAAGATATTTTAAGAACTGCTGAATGTTTCTCGATTATATTTATATGTTATTTACCTCGTTTAGGTTTTAGAATTTTAACTATTTTAATACGCATTTGACTAGTGTTGTTTATGAAGTTTGAATTATCGATAAAAAAAATTTATTTTTTATTTTTATTAATAAAAAATATTAAATCAATAAAGTATATACGTTACTGTTATTATTGTTGATTATATAATAGAATTGAAAGTGAAGAGAAGAATTTAAATATAAAAGAAATATATATTTTTGTTACATTTTTACGCCAATTCCTTTTTTATTCATTCCAGTATTTTTTATGCTGGTAAAAAAAAACTAAATTTAAAGAACAATGAAAGCGTAGTTAAATAGACAGTAGTACGACTAACCGTGAGTTTCTGAGACCAAACTTAAAACAGAGTATTCAAATTTTCGTGAAACACTTATCCTGATGAAGGCCCCCGATGGGCTAGAAACTAGTCGGTGCCGCCACCGGACGAATATACGTGAGTGTTTAGCTGTTTTTATATCAGTTTAAAACAGATTGTTATCTCTGTTTCATCAAAGATAAAAGACAAGGATGACGATATGTCAGATACAGAGATTTGGTGTCAGAAACCGATGGTAAATAAACGTGTTTTGAGTATGTAGTATGTTGTCTAATAGTATTAGTACTTCACTATCTTTTTCTGCCCTTGTTTAAAACTAATACGGTAAAATATTAATCCTATTTCACTTTTCGATAAAAAAAAATATCGATAAACACTGACATCACTAAACTCACCATATTGATTAGTGACGGCCTGTACACAACTGCAGTGTGAACGGTGGCCGCAACTTATATATGCTCAGGATGACACCGCGAGGTCATAGGTGATGGTATGGGAGATGAGTAGGGTGACAATAAGTTTATTATCCATCGCTCGTGACTGTCCGCGCGGAATAAAAAAAACTTAGTAACTACTCTTTCAGACTATATTTTACATATGTGACAATTCAGCGAAGTCCATACAGCCTTTCTAGAGAATTTCTACCAAACATATATCCATCCATCTATCCATACATTCACATTAATAAAATTAGTAAGATTTTTTTGACTAAATAGACTCCGAAACTACTGAATTAATTTGAACAATTCTTTGAATGTTAGAAAGTTCACTATCCCCCGATGATATAGGATATTTATTATTAGTTTATTTTTAACTCATTGCGGACGCAGTCGTGGGCGACAGCTAGTATCTTATGTTTGTTGAAATTGGAACAATTTCATATGATTTATATATGAAATAAGGTTCATATTCAACCAATTTGACATTTTTATGCCATTCATTGCTGTTCTCGTTATATTAAGTTCCCATTTATTTGCTTTCGAGTTATAATATTATAAAAATTGTCCCACGATTATTATGGACATCCTAGTATTCTGTAAGACAGGATCGAGACTGAATTTATTAAAGTCTACTGTCTTATAAGTTTATAGTACACAATTATAATATCTACTTGTTGGTAACAATTTTTGTTGATAAGACTAACTGTCGTCCGCGACTCCGTCCGCGCGGAATTTAAAAAAAAGTAGCCTATGTGACAAATTTCAACAAGATCCGTGCAGCTGTTCTGGAGATACCTTCTAACATACATACAAACATTCTCATTTATAATATTAGTAAGATTGGTTTATAATTTTCTGTCGTCTTATATGTTTAGTTGAAATATAAACTCACCATATTAACAATTTTTCGGTGACGTGTATTTTTTTAACATAACTACAATTAAGTAATACTTAAATCAACTTTCCATATACGTTACTTGTCCTGTCGACCCCTTGTAGCCTGCGGCTTGAAGATGTCATTGTAACCAAAGATATTATGAAATTGTCTGCTTTTTATCTGAATTACTCAAATATATGTAAGTTTCTTTATGACCTTTTAAAGATTTTGAAAAGTGATTATCGATTCGAATTATTCCCTTAAGTGTCATAATTTTTTCATCATCATCAGCTCACTATGCGTCCCCACTGAAGGTCTTGGAGACTATCCTAAGTTAGATTACGTCATAGTCAATACTGACCCACTGCTGGTTTGATTTTTCACAGCTCCAAGGTACAGTAGACCTTATAATTTGACATTATTCCCACAAAAGGGTCTTACAGACAGAGAGATAGATGGACAACAAAGATATCCTATATTTTTACCTTTTGAAGTACGGAAAACTAAAAAGAGATGTCATTTTGCATTATGTATATTTTTTTATGCACGGCATACAGGGTTTTATGTTAATTAAAATAAGTTAACTCTTATTACCAGTTAAGTTAGTTAATTTTATAATATAAAAATGTTAAGCAATATTAAGTTAACGTCTGATGAGTAAAAAATGTTGATAATCTTAGCCTACTGTACGACCGTCACCCTGCGCGTGGGTGTCGAGCCATAACACCATCGGGGGCATACGCGGAAGCGGAAAGCGGGACAAAATAAATCTAGTAATAAAAGTACCTTTCAGCTTTAAGAACATTATTTTAACGGTGGTTGACGCCAACACATCTGTTGCACGAATAGGCCTCGCCCGGTGTAATACCACGACCACACAGAAGACACGCCTCAAGTGCGAATCAATTCCCCGTACAGTCTCATGAGTGTGCGTCCCGGAGGAGTAATTTTATTCTTCTTTGTTCCATCCTTATAAGAAAGGGAAGGGAAAGTGAATGTTATAGAGGAGGGGACGCATAGGAAAGGGAAATATTATCTTTGCGTCCCCTCTGTCGATACGCATAACCCGGAGGGGTTTGCAGAGAACATGATTTCGATTCTTTGTAATTTAACATAGTATTTTACGCAAGATCTTTTGAATATTACTACTTACTAATATTATAAATGCGAATGTTTAGATGGATATATGTTTGTTAGAATATCTCCAGAACGGCTGACTGGATCTCGATGAAATTTGGCATACATATAGAGCATAGTCTGGAAGAACACATAGACAACTAATTAACTTTTTTTTTAATTCCGCGCGGACGGAGTCGCGGGTAACAGCTAATTTAAATTACTTTTATCAGTAGTATAAAGGCTAAATCTTGACGCGGGATAAACGTGTTTCGTGGCCCCATGTGATACTGTCGCAAGATGTCATGAAAGGAGGCTGTGTCGCCTTGGCGGGGCATCTCTTGCTTAACTCCCGATTATCCATAACTTATTTGTTGTTAACTAACATAATTGAACTGGTTAACTTTTTTGTTAAGCGTTTTTTAACCGACTCTTAGAGTGTAATGTTTATCATAGAATCAGCTTATTATAAAGAAATTTTGCAGTTTGGTTTTCAAGTAAAAATCTCTTTAACAAGGTTTCAATGTGAATAAAATCTGTTCAAAACTTTTTAGAGGCTTTTTATAAATGTGAATATTTAGATGGATGGATGTTTGAAGGTATGTCCAGAACGGATAGCGCTGAAATTTGTCATAGTAGAACATAGTCTGGAAGAACACATAGGCTACTTATTAAGTTTTTTTTATTTCCGCGCGGACGGAGTCGCGCGCGATAGTTAGTTATTTATAAATAGGGAATCATTTAGTGGCTAAACTACGCAATTTGTGATACAGGTAGCTTGAGTTAAATCTTTATATCTTTGACCAAGCAATGTACATTTTCCGGACATCCTGTATATGAAGCAAATAATTTTTAACATCTTATATGAAGCGCGTAGTTATTAGGCATACATAAAGGTGACTTGCCAGATGATAGGATTGAGAGAGGAAAGGTCGATGTATAATTAGGGTTGTCAATCTCCAAATATTAATCTTATTTTACTTCTTACTAATATTATAAATGCGAACGTTTGGTTTGAAGGATGTTTGTTCGAAGGTATCTTCAAAACGGCTCCATAAATTTGGCTAAAATTTTGCATAGATGTATAATATAATCTAGAAGAGACATAGGCTAATAATTAAGACAGTTAGTCTAGTAATAAATTAAACCCACTTTATGTTTTTTTTTATCATTACAAGTATATGAAAGAAGACTGTATGATGATAAAATTGGTTTAAAACGATTTTTTAAATATTGTCTTTTGACAACCCTAATGGTTATGTTATTTGCATTCCACGAATTAATAGAACTGTTTTGGTTATACAGATCAATGTTAATATAAAAATTTGAATGTCTGTTAATCCGTGAAGGTTGCAATACTAGGCCAGATGCGTTATACATTTGAATATGAAGGTAAATAAAAATATATTATAAATGCGAATGTTTAGATGTATGTTTGTTTGTAAGATGGTATGTCCCTAATTTAGTCCTCTTTCCCTTCCCACTCTTTTTCTTATAAGGAAAGGATGGGAAGTAGAAGTAGATATTCCGGATGAGAGGATGCATAAAAAGGGAAAATATTTTCTTTCTGTGCATCCTCTCCTCCGTCGATTAAAGGTAGGAAACGCATATGCAATTGCGTATGTCTATGGGCAACGGTCACTTCGCTATTTCAGCGATTTCAGGTGGCCGCTCGCTCGTTTGCCAACTTATGATATAAAAAAAAATGTCCACTTTATAACTAATATTATAATTGAATGTCTCTTTCATTCTCTTTGAGAAAATAGAGAAAACACTATGTGTTAAGTCACTACAGTGATATTCTATATTAATTATCCTTGTATCCTTTTAATAAATGTTTGTTCATGGTATAGAATAGATCCAAGAATGCCATTCGGTCGTGGAATGGTCGTTTCTTTAGCGTCAGTTCCTTATCGATGTCGAGGTATGTTAGAGCCTCATTGGTCACCGGTTTCCATTCGACTGGTAATAAATCTGTGCTTTCTGGTGTTGGGTTACTGTGGAAATAAAAATGAATCGATGAAACGTTTATAACTAGGATTACTCTTTATAAGACACAGTTTGATTCTTTATAAAACGTACTAAGACTAATATTATAAATGCGAATGTTTAGATGGATGTTTGTTAGAAGCTATCTTCAGAACGGATCAACGAATGACGTTGAAATTTGGCACAGATGTATAAGATTGTCTCGAAGAACACATCGTCATCATTATAGGGACTGATGGTCTCGGAGCCTACCCTAACGGGTGACTAGGCCATAGTTAACCACGGTGGCCAAGTACGCTGTAGTTGAAATCGACAAACATATGAAAAGCCATGTACCAATGGCGGATTTGAAATCCTGTGTGTCAAGTGAAGCAAGTAAGCTTTGGAGAATATATAGGTCACTAAATTTTTTAAACCATGAGTACCGTATCGTGGTTGATAGCTAGTTAACAGATCTTCCAACTTACCCATACTTGACGAAATTAGTCCACATCGTTGTTATTCTATCGATAACAAGTTGATCCTCTTCTGTAGGTTGTTCTTTCATAATTGCAACATCGAATAAATAACTAATTTCATCAGCATGTCCTGCTCCGTCTGCAGTTATGTTGAATCTCCATTTAATAAAATTCCTATCACCAGAATACGAGAATATATAATGATACACATCTCCAGAATTATCTAGATACTTCTGAACACTTCTGTGTACAGGATGATTGAACATCATGTCTGATTGGAAATCAATAAGATTTTCTTTCAAATCATCGACGTTATTCTCATCACCTATATAGAATTGTTTGACTAATGTCACCAATTCATCATCATCAAAGTTGAATGCCATTGATAAATATTTTTCAAATATATTCAAATCTAAATTTTCTCCGATATATGCACCTACTAGCATTTCTCTATTATTATATCCTGTAAGAATCGGTATGTTTTTCGCTTTTGGTATGTCACTATTAATCGGATATTCGTCTACGAATCTTTCTACACCATCAAATTCTTTCTCAACACAAGGCATGAAACTCAAATTCGATTCTAATGCAACTGCTATAACTAATTTTGGATCAACTGAAGCTAAGAAATCTATAGCTTTGTTAGTATCTTCAGTTTCAAATCCTAATTTATCAGCTAAATAAATAGGTGCGTTTTCATTAGAATCAACTATCGCCCAATGGCCTAATGTTGTACCACTTTGCATTATTACTTTATCAAACAATTTCTCTTGTTTGGATAATAATTGGAAATCAACAGACGCAGCTCCAGCACTTTCACCAAATATAGTAACTTTGTTAGCATCACCACCGAAAGCACCAATGTTTTCTTTGACCCATCTTAAAGCATTTAATTGATCTTTTAAGCCTTGATTTCCTGGTACATCTGGTGTATCCAAACACATGAAACCGTAAGGTCCAACGCGATAGTTAATCGTGACCACAATGACATCATTCCTGACTAAATATTTCGGTCCGTATACGTATCTTCCAGCGTAACCAATTTGGAATCCACCACCATAAATCCAAACTAGAACTGGGAGTCTGTTTAAACTGGTCGCAGTGTTTGGTACGTATAAGTTGAGATGTAAACAATCAAGTGAGCCAGTTATTTGGTTACTGAATTCTTCCAGTTGTGGACAAATTGCTGAATCGTCGGTAGCTTCGAATGTGTCTTCGAAGTCAGGATATGGTAGTGATGGCTGGAAACAATATAAGATGTAATATTGAAGAATGTTATTCATAAGAAAAGTAGCTTTTGCCAGCGACTTTGTCCGCACGGAATTAAAAAAAACTTATAAGTAGCCCATGTAAGATGAGTTAAGTTGTTTTTGAGATGGCTTCAAACAAACATATTACATCTAAACATTCGCATCTTACTAATATTATAAATGAGAAAGTTTAGATGGCTGTTTGTCAGAAGATATCTCCAGAACAGCTGCATGGATCTTCCTGAAATTTGTCATAGATGTAGATCATAGTCTGGAAGAACACATAGACTAATAATTAAGTTTTTAATAATTTTTACTCATCCTAATCCTACAAATGGATCCTATTAAATATGAATACATACCCCAAATGGATTGCTATAGTTGACCATAGCATATGGTATACCAAGGAACATGGCATAGTCTCCATCTGTCGCCTGCAGTCCTCGGATCAGACCCTTCTTGCTGTCCACAAGTGGGTCCAGCCTTGGCGATGCCCAAGCTACAGTAAAACATAGCAGTTGTATTATAAACTTCATGTTAACTCTTTGATAGTATTAAGTGGTATGATTTTTTAAAACACTTTTAAAGATATCAGTTTTTTTTCTCGAGTACTTGATTAGATATGGTTTTAAGAGTCGGTTTTATTTATTATTAGTTGTCACGCGATTCCGTTCGTGCCGAATGAAAAACAAACTTTATAGGTAGCCAATGTGTTCCAGACTACATTCTACATCTATGCCAAGTTTCACCGAGATCTGTTCAGCTTTTCACGATACCTTCTAACAAACATATTTCATTCATCCAGCTAAACTCTTACATTTGTTGTCTTGCCTGCAACTCCGTCCGTGCGACATGAAAAAAAAACTTATTAGTAGCCTGTGAGTTCTTCCAGACGATGTTCTACATATATACCAAATTTAATCGAGATTCAATCAGCTGTTCTGGAGATACCTTCTAACGTACATCTAAACATTCGCATTTATAATATTAGTAAGATTAATCTGATATTGTACGGAACTCTAAACAACTATGCAACTGATTAGTAAAGATATAAAATCTTTCGACAGATGGTTCACTTATCTAGTAACCTTGGATTTGATGTTTTGGATATAAAGATAGGGCTGCCACCGTTTACAATTGGTGTACTATCGAGGATGATTATTTTAAAGCTATTTCGGAGTTATATGTCACGCTCGTGATGCAATCTTACTAATATTATAAATACGAATGTTTAGATGTATGTTAGAATGTATCTCCAGAACGCCTGCATGGATCTTGGATGGATGGATGTATGGATTGTTAAAACATATCTCCAGAATGGCTGGAAATTTTATATAAATGTAGGACATTGTCTGGTTGAACACATAGGTTGCTAATTAAGTTTTCTTTATCGCTCTCGGACAGAGTCTAGTAAAACGGTCTAGTCTAGTCTAGTTTAGTTTGTTAGAAGGTATCTCCAGAACGGCTGTACCGGTCTCACTGTAATTTGACATAGATGTAGAACATAGTCTGGAAGAACACATAGGCTACTATTAAGTTTTTTTTTAATTCGGATGGAGTCGCGGGTGACAGCTATTTAAACAACGTTTCGTTGATAATATTTTACGTTTTATTCTTTGGCAGCCCTATTTTTTGGATCAATTGAGATCTGTGATAATTTTGCAATAAGATTATTCGTCTTGTTGCATATAAAGAATATTCTAGAATTTACAATACTTCATGAAAGATGAATATGGCAATTGATAATATTATAGCTTATATTTTAACTGGCTGTCTAAAAAAGCTAAAAAAAAAACTTTATTAGTAGCCTTTAAAGTCCCGTAGAGCCCACTTTAAAATCTTCGCACGAATTGTCCCGACTCGCCCGGTGAAATACCACAACCATACAGAAGACAGGCGTCAAGTGGAAGCAATTCCGCGTGTTGTCTGATGAGTGTGTGTCTCGGAGGCCTAATTTAGTTCTCTTTCCCTTCCCACCCTTTTTCTCATAAGGAAGTGGACTTTCTGGATGAGAGGATGCATGAAAAGGGAAAATATTATCTTTCTGTGCATCCTCTCCTCCGTCGATTAAAGGTAGGCAAGGCATATGCAATTACGTATGTCTATGGGCAACGGTCACTTCGCTATTTCAGCGATTTCAGGTGAACGCTCGCTCGTTTGCCACCTTATGATAGAACATAGTCTGGAAGAACACATAACCTACTACTTCTTTTTAGTTCCGCGTGGAGTCGCGTGCGACAGCTAGCTTATATTATTATATTAATTTAGTTTTTGTTTAATTAAGTTATAGTTTTAATAACTTTTGTTGCTTAATCCTCGTAATTTTACATTATTTTCCTCGGATTTTCTGCATATTGTCTACCCAGTACTTGTTTTAGTATTATACAGTCTAGTCTTTGTGTGGTCTACATTAAAACAAATTTAAACAGGCATATAATTTATTACAAAATCATTTATCGTTGGTTTCTAAGACCAATGTGTATCATATCTTCATCCCTCTCATTATCTTTGATAAAACAGACATAACAATATTATTTAGAATCCTTTGGTGAATGGCGCTCATTCGTTATAAAGTCAAGTGTCAGATTAATGTGGGGACACAAACGTTGACATTATTATCAGGCTAGTGATCCTAACAATACAAAGAATTTGGTCCCAGAAACCAACGATTGGTCATTATTATCATGCAGTTATAAATCAAATATTTTATCTTTATTTGTTTTGCCTTTGATTAGCTTTCAATAAATGTTCATTAGTTTTATAAAATAAGTCCAAGAAAGTCGTCCGTTTATGGAATGGTCGACTGCCGAGCGTTAGCTCATTGTCTATATTCAAATAAGGAAGACTATCTTTAGTGATTGGGTCCCATTTAATTGGTAAAAGGTCTGTTGTCTCCGGTGTTGGGTCACTGGAAAAGAAAAGAAATATATTTATTTGTATGTGGTTGACCGATTGCGTCGTGCGACGTCGGTGGCTCAGTGGTCAGTCAGTGGTCGGTGGCTCAGTGCAGGTCCTGGGTTCGAATCCCGCCATGTACCAATGTGTTTTTCGATTTCCGATTTACATATGTACATTTATCCGACGTTCTTACGGTGAAGGAAAACATCGTGATGCAACCTGCACATATCTGAGGAGAAATTCAAAGATATGTGTGAAGTTAACCCGCACTTGGCCAGCTTGGTTGACTATGGCTTTATCACCCTTAACTTAGGGTAGGCTCGAGCTCCGCGGTGGGGACATGCAGTGAGCTGATGATGATGGTTGACCGATTCTTAATAACTTTAGTACAAGAGACACTATAGTGTGATAACAATCTTTGCTACTTTTACCTTCAAAAGACTTTGTTATCCAAAAATTCAGGATTATTTTTATCTAAACTAAATTGTAATTAAATTGCGAAATGCCAGATTTGATGCAATAACAAGATATTGTTTGTGACAGTTCAATGATAAGATATAATATATTTTAGTAATTACTAATATTATAAATGCGAATGTCTGTATGGATGTTTGTTGGAAGGTAACTTCGGAACAGCTGAAAGGATCGCACTGAAATTTGGCATAGATGTAGAGCATAGCCTGGATGAACGCATCGGCTTAAGTTTTTTTTTTAATTAACTAGTTTTCGCCCGAGACTCTGTCCGCGCTGAATTAAAAAAAAAACTTAATAAGTAGTTCTTCCAGACTATGTTCTACATCTATGCCAAATATCAAGATCCGTTTAGCAGTTCCGGAGATACCTTCTAACAAACATCTATTCATCCAAAAATTGGCATTTATAATATTGGTAAGATTATGCCCAATTTAATGCAAGTGAGGATTAGTTTGACAATCGAAATTTTAATAATTTTCTTATTAGTTTCTCCCCTTAAAAAAGGGTGGAAACAAAAAGGCGACTAAAATTAAGCCTCCGGCAGGCATACTCAGCAAATCTAACGCGAAATTGGTTCCTTTTCAGTCGTAATACTGCACCTTTGATATTTACTACTTACCCATATTTAGCGAAATTAGCCCACAAAGTTGTCATCCTGTCGATAACAAGTTGATCTTCTTTTGTTGGGGATTCTTTGAAAATTGATACATCGAATAAATAGCTTATTTCATCAGCATGAGATGCCCCACCTATAGTTATGTTATTTCTGTACTTGACAAAGTTCCTGTCACCGGAATATGAGAAGATATAATGGTAGACTTTGCCACCGTTGTCTAAATATTTAGACAAACTTCTATGCACTGGATGACCAAAGGTGTAATCAGCTTCGAAATTCATAAGATCCCATCTTATTTTATCACTAACTTCTTCATCACCAACATAGAATTGTCGCATTATTGTCTCCAAATCTTCATCATTACTTAAATCGAACATAATCGCTAAATTGTTTTTGAACATGTTCAAACTTAAAGTAGAGATAGGTCTATTAACATAAGGTACAAGCATTTCTTGGTTATTATAGCCAGATAGGATTAAAATATCTTTAGCTTTTGGTATCGCGCTATTTACAGGATGATTAGCAATAAACTTCTCAACACCATCAAAGTCTTTTTCAATGCAAGGCATAAATCTATTTGGTATCTCCAATGATGCTGCAATTACTAGATCAGGTTCAACAGTTGATAAGAATTTCAAAGCATCGTTCACATCATCTGTGTCTAGACCTAGACGTTTAGCTAATGCTGTAGGTGTATTTCTATCAGAATCCATAACAGCCCATGGACATTGAGCTGTCCCACTTTGTAATATAACTTGGTTGAATAGTTTCTCCTGTTCCGATATAAGATGGTAGTCAACTGATACTCCTCCAGCGCTTTCACCGAATATTGTAATTTTATTAGCATCACCTCCAAATGAATCTATGTGTTCTTTTATCCAGCGTAAAGCGCTTAATTGGTCTTTCAATCCTTGATTTCCTGGTACTTCAGGTGTATCCAAACACATGAAACCGTATGGACCCAATCTATAGTTTAATGTAACTAGTATTATATCTTGTTTGACTAAATATTTGGGGCCATGTACAAAACGACCTGCGAATCCAATTGAAAAACCACCCCCATATATCCATACCAATACGGGTAGTTTGTTTCTAGATGTAGCTTTGTTAGGTACGTAAACGTTGAGATGTAAGCAATCTAGCGTACCAACTATTTGATTGTCAAATTCTTCTCTTTGAGGACAAATTGCTGTGTCATCGTTAGCTTCGAACACGTCCTCGAATTCGGGGTATGGTAGTGATGGCTGAAAATTAAGATTAAAATTAGAAACTAGAATAAAAATTAAGTGTATATTGTCAATTTAAGGAATAACCATAAACAAACTACACCTTACGCTTAGACTTTTAAATCTTACTATTATTATAAATTAGCTGCCGCCCGCGACTCAGTCCGCGTATCTTTATATATATAATTCTTCTGTGAGTGTGTATGTCACTGAACTTCTCTCAAACGACTGAACCGATTTTGATGAAATTTTTTGTGTGTGTTCAAGGGGATCTGGGAATGGTTCAGATTCACAGTTTTGTCCGCTGGACAATGTTTTTTTAATTAATTTTTAATATATTAGTAGTTGTTGATTTTGGAATGTTTTACATTGGATCCGACAGACGGCGCTACCGTCGCAGTGTCAAATTTTAAATAATATTCAAATTAAAGACGTGTAGACAGAACAACGTCTGTCGGGTCCGCTAGTCTTATATATAAAAATCTCAATATATAGATAAGTAAAATAAAAAGCAGCTCTTCAAGGCATAAATTCGAATAAAATAAAAAATGAATAAATAGTACCCTATATCCGTCTCCTGGCTCTAAGCTACCTCTTCACCAATTTTCAGTCATATCGGTAAAGTCGTTCTTGAGTTATAAATAGTGTAACTAACACCACTTTCTTTTATATATAATATCTACAATATCTTTTATATATAATACATCTATTGTGTATGTTTAGATGGATGTTTGTTTGAATGTATCTCCCGAAAAAACTGCATGGATATCGTTGAAATTTGACACACATATAGAATGTAGTCTAGAAGATCACATAGGCTACTGATTAAGTTTTTTTTTTTTCAATTCGCACGGACGAGTCGTAGACATGATACTAGTATTATGAATTGTTTTAATCATCTTGGTGTTGAAAGAACAATTACAATACAATCAAGAACTGAAAAACTTACCCCAAATGGATTACTAGCATTAACTTTTGCAAAAGGTATGCCTAAAAACATGGAATAATCACCATCAGTTGCCTGCAAACCTCTAATCAGTCCTAGTTTAGTCTCAACTAAAGGATCTATCCTAGGTAATGCCCATACAGTGACCAGTAGCACCAAATTCACCACAACGACCTTCATGATGTCTACAATACTAGCCCCAGATCATTGTTAAAAACTCCTTTTAAGGAGCACGTTCAAGAGTTCGATAAGAAATCAGCCTTAAGCGACGGTCACATACCAAAAAATTTGCTAGAGGGTGAAGACCTAGTAACCACTTAAAGTGGTATAAGGACAGAGAGATGATGATTATTTTAAAAAAATACCAGCTTTAGATGCTACAAGATGCTTTAATTACAAGGTGTTAAACAAGCAAGTGGAAATTGAGTTGGCCGAAAAAGCAAAGCGACCGCTGTCCGTAGACCTATGCAGATGCGTTGCCTATCTTTAACCCTTAATTCGATGGTGTCCAGTGTGAAGAACAACTAATTAAAAAAATCTACTGAACAAGTTGAGAGAAAAATATGTAAGTATGACCTTACCAAAAAAAAAAAACAGTTTTTTGCTACAAAAAAATTTCGTCTAATTAAGGGTTAATCAACAGAGGTGATGCATAGGAAAATCTCCGTAAGAAAGAGGGCATTAATTAGGACAAAACGCAAAATTGTTTCCACTTGAGACGTGTCGTCTGTGTGGTCGTGATACTGCACCGTGCGACATTGTCAGACTGTCTTGTCATGTCAGTCCCCTTACGAGCTTGTCAGTCTAAAATTATTTTTTCTTTAGTTTAATGTCACCTTTACTTTATTATCTAACATCATTGATGTTTACTGATACATTATCTAGAATTTTACGATAAAATTTTGATGATATATCTTCCCACCCAAAAGCGCTTTTTTTGTAAACATAATGACTAAGCATGAAAAATATTCAGTTGATTGAATTTTGATTTTATTTAAAAGTCCTTGAACATGCCGCTGCATAAATGTCCAGATTGCCAGATACCATCACAATCAGAGGGGCAGCTGCCTCGGCAGCTGGCGCAGACGGGGCCGCGGACGAGAGCGAAAGCGTGCGTGCGTGGAGGAACAGAGGGGTTTAGTGGGTATGCCTCCGCTGACCTCTCGCTTCCCGGCGTCATACGCGCCATGCTGGGAAGCGAGAGGTCATGGACAGCGGTTGCCTCCTTCTGCGAGTCAGTCATCTCGCAGAAGGAGGCAAAAGAGCGGGAGCGCGAGGGAGATCC